TACTCAGGAGGCTGAGGCAGAAGAATCACTTATAGCCGGGAGGTTGAGGTTGCAGTGAACCAAGATTGCACCACTGCACTCCAGCCTGGTTGACAGAGTGAGACTCTGCCTCAACAACAACAACAAAAACAAAAACAAAAAAAGAAAGAAAGAAAGGAAGAAAGCAAGCAAGGAAGAAAGAACAAAAGAGAGAAAACAAACACAAGAAAACCCCACAAAGTTATAATCCCAGCACTTTGGGAAGCCAAGGCAGGTAGATCGTGAGGTCAGGGGATCGAGACCATCCTGGCTAACACGGTGAAACCCCATCTCTACTAAAAATACAAAACGTTAGCCAGGTGTGGTTGCACACACCTGTAGTCCCAGACACTCAGGAGGCTGAATCAGGAGAATTGCTTGAACCTAGGAAGCAGACGTTGCAGTGAGCCAAGATTGCATCACTGCACTCCAACCTGGGCGAAAGAGTGAGATTCTGTCTCAAAAAAAAAAAAAGAAAGAAAAAAAAGAGAGAAATAATCAATGAATACTCATATCTACATCGCTGTGGATACATATGGCTGTGCTTCTGTAGGATAGACCCCCGCGGTAGAAGGATGCCTAGGTTTGATAGGCGCTGTTGAATGCACTTCATATTCATTGCAGCACAAGAGTGGCCATTCACCCACACCTCAGCAACAATAGATACATCATCTTTTGCCCACCTTTTCTACTGGAAATGTTTATTCTTTTTTCTTAGTGATTTGATAATGATCTTTATATATTCAATATATTACTTATATGTCAGAGAAATTGCAAATATTTTCCCTCTTTGTGTTTGTCTTTTAGCTTTTTCCTTTTGGAAAGAAAATGTGCTCAGTTTTTATGTCTTAGAAGTAGGGAAGGTGACCAGGCGCAGTGGCTCACACCTGTAATTCCAACACTTAGGGAGGCCAAGGTGGGTGGATCATCAGGTCAGGAGATCGAGACCATTCTGGCCAACATGACTAAACACTGTCTCTACTAAAAATACAAAAATTAATTGGGCATGGCGGCATGTGCCTGTAGTCCCAGCTACTCCAGAGGCCGAGGCGGGATAATCGCTTAGGGAGTCGGAGGATACAGTGAGCCAAGATCGTGCCACTGCATTCCAGCATGGTGACAGAGCTAGACTCAGTCTCAAAACAAAAAAAATCAAAAAAAGGAAATAAAACGGAAGTAGGAAAGGCTTTTTTAAATCCAAAAGCCTATCAGAAAAAGACTGTCTAATAAATATCCTCCTATAATTACATCTAAACTCTGTAGTTTCACTTTAAAATATCTTAATCTCTAATATATCTGAAATTTGTGTGTGCATTGGGAAATAGAGATACGACTTTATATTTTTTTTTCCTTAGAGAAAAGCCAATCATTTGTATTTTCCTTGGGTGTTTGAATTACGACCTCTTTTCATCTACTAGGTTCCACAGCTATCTGGGGCTGTTCTAGTGTTCTCTGTGTGCTCATTAATTTGCTAGATATGAAGCTGGGCATGGTGGCTCATGACTGTAATCCAGCCTAATTTCCTAATTTCCATACTTTGGGAGGCTGTGGCAGATGGATCACCTTAGGTCATGAGTTCAAGACCAGAGTGGCCAACATGGTGAAACCCCATCTCTATTAAAAATACAAAATTATCTGGGCATGGTGGTGGGTGCCTGTAATCCTAGCTACTCAGGAGGAAGGGTGGAAAATCTACTGAACCTGGGAGTCAGAGGTTGCAGTGAGCTGAGATTGTGAGATATGAGATTCTGGGATATGAGATCTGGGATGTGAGATATGAGATTGTGAGATACGAGATTCTGGGAATACAATACTCTTACAGTATTTTTGGATATCTAGAAGGTAAAGTCTTCCCTAATTATTAAATTTTTATTTTATTTGTAAAACGTTTTGAATGTTTTAATACACTTATTCTATTATTTTATATTATTTTTAGTTTATTCCACTTTAATTTTTAGTCAATGAAAGCAGCCAAAACAATCCGTAACAGACTCTGCCAATATTGCTGAATGCTCAAGGTTTCAGTGGAGTGAGTTACATGAAGATGTGCTCCTGCTGGCTGAGACAAAGCAAAAGCCAGCACCTGAGAAGGACGAAGTCATAGACAAGGCTGGGAGCGAGCACAAGACTGTTCAAACACAAAGAACAAAATTACTCTCAAAAGAGAAGATTTAAAATGTAAAGAAAATAACACTGCAGTTAAATAGCTGCAATGAGATGCCAGGTTCTGTTGCATATGTGGAGAAGTGGCAAGGAGAAGACAGTTAGAATCGGTGTGGAGTATGGGCGTGTGATTGCAGGCATACAATGGGGAAGCAGGTGGGTCGGGGCACGAGGTGGTACATTTTAAAAAGCATTTAAATTTTAATTCTGAAAATTAAGAAAGAAACTTATATTTAAAAATTACAATGGCCGGGCACGGTGGCTCAAGCCTGTAATCCCAGCACTTTGGGAGGCCGAGGCGGGTGGATCACGAGGTCAAGAGATCGAGACCATCCTGGTCAACATGGTGAAACCCCGTCTCTACTAAAAATACAAAAAATTAGCTGGGCATGGTGGTGAGTGCCTGTAATCCCAGCTGAGGCAGGAGAATTGCCTGAACCCAGGAGGAGGAGGTTACAGTGAGCCGAGATGGTGCAATTGCACTCCAGCTTGGGTAACAAGAGCGAAACTCCGTCTCAAAAAAAAAAAAAAAAAAAGTGACTTGTAAGCTGTCTCTTCTTCATTCTCTGAAAGTGTTTGTGCAGGATTGGTGGCTGTTGGATGTGTAGTAATTTCCCTTTCTCTATTCCTGTTATTCTTTTTTTTTCTTTTTCTTGATCAATTTTATTAATATTTTCAAAGAATGATAATTGTTTGCTTTGTGGTTATCTCTATAGTATATTTGCCTTCCATTTAATTGATTTCTGCTTTTGTTTTTTATTGCATTATTTCTTCTTTTTAAAAATTTGTTATTCATTTTCCAGTTCCTTGAGGTTATGATGAAAACTAAGATTGACTTTCAGTCTTTTTTTTTTTAATTGCAATATATGAATTTCCAGCTGTGAATTTTTCTTTTAACAATGGCTGTTTTAGTCCATTCTCACACTGCTCTGAAGAAATACCCGAGACTGGGTAATTTATAAAGAAAAGAAGTTTAATTGACTCACAGTTCTGCATGGTTGGGAAGGCCTCAGGAAACTTACAATCATGGTGGAAGGCACCTATTCGTAGGGCAGCAGGAGAGAGAAATTAGTGCCAGCAGGAGAAATCCCAGAAGCTTATAAAACCATCAGCTCTCATGAGACTCTCTCACTATCATGAGAACCATATCGGAGAAACCAGCCCCATGATTCAATTACCTCCCGCTAGGTGCCTCCCATAACACATGAGAATTATGGGAACTACAAGATGAGATTTGGGTGGGGACATGGCCAAACAATATCAATGACTTAAAATCTTTGCCAGCTGTCGATATGTCATATAGTCTTTATCATTCAGTTCCTAATGTTTTTTAATATTCTTTCTGACCTTTCTGATATCTTCTTTTACCCATAGGTTATTTAGAACTATATAGATTAATTTTCAAATAAGTGGTGATTTTCCAGTTTCTTTTTTCCCAAGTTAACTTTCTCGGAGACCAGATAAAATTATCTTCATTATTTAAATTTTTTGAAATTTTGGGAGTTTGATTTATTGACCAGCTATAATCAATTTTGGTAAATGTTTCATGTGCAATTAAAAAGAATGTGTATGCTATGGGTTTAGAGTGCAGTATTCTAAAAATGATGAGGAGGCCAACCTTGCTAATTGTGTTATTCAAATTATCTGCTTTGAAATAAATGTGTTAAAATCTACAATTATGGTTGTGAATGTATTTACTTGTTCTTCATATTTTGTTAGTTTTGTTCTACATATATTTTGATGTTGTTATTAGATTCATGCAGATTAAAATTTATGATATCTTCTTAGAAAACTGACCACATTATCATTTTGAAATGTTTATCTTTAGTAACACTTCTTAGCTTAAAGTCAATTCTGTCTGGTATTAGTATAAATATACTAGCTTTCTATGCCTATAATCCCAGCACTTTGGGAGGCCAAGATGGGTGGATCACTTGAGTACAGGAGTTCTACACCAGCCAGACAACATGGCAAAACCCCTTTTCTACCAAAGATACAAAAAATTAGGTGAGTGTGGTGGTGCATGCCTGTGGGCCCAGCTACTTGGGAGGCTGAGGTGGAAGGATTGCATGAGCCTGGGAGGCAGAGGTTGCAGTGACCTGATATTGTGCCACTATACTCCAGCCTGGATGATAGAGTGAGACCTTGACTCAAAAAAAGAAGCATATATATATATATGCATGTGTATATGTATGTGTATATGTATATGTATATGTATGTGTATGTGTATATGTATATGTATGTGTATATGTATGTGCATGTGTGTATGTATGTGTGTATGTATGTGTACGTGTACGTGTATATGTATATGTATATGTATATACATATATATTAGCTTTGATTTGGTTTTCCTGGCATATCTTTTCCCATTATTTTACATTCAATCTTTTTGTGTCCTGATATTTAAATTGTTATCTCTTGGAAGCAGCATATAGCTGGGTTTTAACAGCCTCAACTGACAATCTTAAATCTTTTCCTTGGAGCATTTAGATCATTTATGTTTAATGCAGTTACTGACATAAATATGTTTATATCTGCCATGTTACTATTTTCTTTCTGTTTGATCCACCTGCTTTGTATTCCTTTTTCCTCTTTTCATGACTTCTTTTACCTTAATCAAATATTTGTATCATTTTATTTTCCCTAAGGTAACATACTAGCTGCTAGATAACTTGAAATCTCTGATAAAATAGATGTTTTGTTATAAATATGCAAATAATTCAAATGGATTTGTTAAGAAATAGAACACCAGAAAGAGCTCTTGAAAATTTAAAATTTATAAAATAATCTGTCTTCACTGTTGGAATGGCCAGATAATTCTCACAAATAATCATCATGATATATTTAAGAAACAAATGCTACGATTTAAACTACATGAGTATCACAGAAGTGAAACCTCTAATAAATTATTAGTGTATATTGTCTGGCAGTATAGTCTAGTGATAATATAGCATGCCTAAGTAGATTCTGTTGCTTGAATGTGAATGCGATTTAACATAAATAAAGCTTCTCTATAATTCTTGAATGAATAAAAGGTCAAGAAAGACTATAGGAAGTTTTGAAAAATATAAAAAAGGTATTTGAGAATACTTTCTGAATTTTAAAAAGCTGCTAGAACTAAGGTTAGAATATCATTTTCTTAATAACCTAATAACCCACTGGAACCAGAAACTAAAAAAAATTAACAATTTTACGAATAGTTATTTTTATTAAAATCAAGAACAAGAGAAAATGCCTATTACTCATATGGTTCATCATTGATTTGCATTTGCATTGTCTAATAATTTTAGACAATGCAATAAGATGAGAAAAATACAAAGCTGCATACTGCAAACTAGGAGACGACATCATCTGTCTTTACAGATGATTTGATTGTCTATCTGAAAAATCCAAGGGAATCAATTGATTAACACTACTTTAATTGATAACAAACCCTAATTGGATGATTGATTAGCAATCCAAGACACAGAAATCAATATTTTCCCAACATGGCAGCAATAACTTGAAAAGCTAAAAAAAAACTATATATTTTCATTTAAAAATATATAAATACTAGTAATAAACTTAAAAAATGTGCAGAGTCACTGCAAAGCAATTAACACTTTACTTCAAGACATAACATTTTTTAGTAAGACAGCACTTTTCTGGATTGGAGACTTGTATTAATTCTTTTTTTTAAATTATAGAACCATTAATTTGCATAACAAAATATGATTTTAAAGCCTCTCTTATGCTCACAATCATTGGCAACTTCACGCACTTTTAGTTGTACATGACATCTAAACACAAACATACAGCTTTCATAAAAATAGATTCACACTGAGTATATTATTCCCCAGGTTGCTTTCCATTCAAGAGCACATTTAGGAGTTGTTTCTATGGTTGTATAGTCATATCTCATTTTTAACTCCTACGTAGTACTTCATAGTATGAATATGCCATGATTTATTTACATATTCCTTTCTAATGGGTTGTTTATAATATTTTAATTTATTAAAGCTATTTACATATTATCAATATCAAACCTGCATCTATTTATTTTTTGAATTTTATTTTTTAATTTTAACTTTAATTTTTTAATTCAATAGCTTTAGGAGTCCAAGCAGTTTTTGGTTACGCGGATGAACTGCATAGTGGTGAAGTCTGAGATTTTATTGTACCCATCACCCAAGTAGTGAATGTTGCACCTTATAAGTAGTTATTTATCCCTCACGTTCACCCATCCTCCCCCCTTCTGAGTCTTCAGTGTCCACTACACTACTCTATATGCCTTTGCATACCCATAGCTCAGCTTCCACTTATAAGTGAGAACAGGCAATGTTTGGTTTTTCATTCCACTCACCAGTTACTTCACTTTGGATAATGGACTATAGTTCAGTAAAAGTTGCTGAAAAAGACATTTCATTCTTTTATGGCTGAATAGTATTACATGGTGTATACACACACACAAACACACACACACACACACACACACACCATACCTTTCCAATTGTGAACTGTGCTTTGATAAACATACACGTCCAACTGTCTTGATTTAATGACTTCTTTTCCTTTGGGTGATACACAGTAGAGGGACTGCTGGGTTGAACGGTAGATTTACTTTCAGTTCTCTGAGAAATCTCCAAGCTGTTTTCCATAGAGACTGTGTTAATTTACACCCCCACTAACAATGTATGAATGTTCACTTTTCATCACATCCATGCCAACATCTATTGTTTTTTGACTTTTTATTTTATTTTTGAAAGTCGATAAAGTTTTATTTAAGGAATTCCATGTTGTGATTTCTTCCACTGGCCATCAAGGTCACATTAGATCCTCTAAAGAGCTGGAGTGAAAAGATTTATCTTCAAGTTAGCCCTTTTTAATGAAACTGATGCTTATTTTAATCCAGTTGTCCTGTCAGCCCATAATTCTTTTATTTTGGCTTCTGTCACCTCCTTTTAATATGGATACACTGATGAAGACTTCAAAATTCACCAAGAATCTTTGGGATCTGATTTCTTCAACCAATTTATTTTAGGGTCCTTTTTACTGTAGGTGGTGGATCCGCCTGGTTCTCAATTTGACACCCTCTCTTAACATGAATGAGTTCAAATCATATCCATTCCTAAGCGATCACACCCAAGAATAGTACAGATGTATGAAAATACGCCAATACCTTTAACTCCAGTCATCAGGTTCTCAAGATAAAAGTCTTTAAAACAAAAAGCCATCTTATATGAAGTCAACATGAAATTGGAATGCAAAATTAATACTGCTGAGGATTTCTCTCATATCCTATGCTGTTTTAACCATTCTACAGTCCTAGAATCAATCTTTTGAAATTAAGAGACAAAGTCTGTCTTTGTTTCCCAGGCTGGAGTACAGTGGTGCCATCAAAGCTCAGTGCAGCCTCCAACTCCTGGGCTCAATCCTTTTGCCTCAGCCTCCCTTTCCTGAATAGCTGCAAGTATAGGCACATGCCCCAATACCCAGTTAATTTTTAAATTTTCGTGGAGATGAGGTGTTTATTACTTTCTTGCCCAGGCTGGTCTTGAACTCCTGACTTCAAGCAATATTCCCACCTCAGTGTGGGGATTGAAAGCTTGAGCCGTTGCACCCAGCCAGGAAGCCACCTTTATAGCTATCAATACTCCCATCAGTTAACTGTCTAAGTTATCATAATATCCCTTCTTACATGTATCAAAACTCATACTGAACAATGAGTTCTGGGTTGCAAGAGAGGATTTATTTTTTACACCTATTCATAAGACTTTTGTCCACAAGTTAAACAAAAACATACCTAAGTGCAGTTTTTTACTTTTTAATAATGGCCATTCTGGTTGGGGTAAGGTAGTATCTCACTGTAGTTTTAATTTGCAATTCCCTGATGATTAGTGATGTTGAGCACTTTTTTCTATATTTATTGGTTGCATGTATGTCTTGAGAATTGTCCATTCATGGCATTTGTTCACTTTTTAATGGGATTTTTTTTGATGATTTGTTTGAGTTTCTTATAGAGTGTAAATATGAGTTCCTTGTCAGATGCATACTTCGCAAATATTTCTCCCATTATGTATGCTGTCTGCTTACTCTGTTGATGATTTCTTTTGTTGTGGAGATGCTCTTTAGTTTCATCAAATCCCATTTATTTATTTTGGTTTCTGTTACTTTGCTTTTGATGTCTTAGTCTTCAATTCTTTGCTTAGGCCAATGTGCAGAAGAGTTTTTTTCTAGGTTTTCTCCTGGAATATTTTTATGGTTTCATGTCTGAGATTCAAGTCTTCAATCCATTTAGAGTTAATTTTCGTATATGGTAAGAGATAGAGATCCAGTTTCATTCTTGTGAATGTGGCTGATTTTCCCAGCATCATTTATTGAATAGGGTGTCCTTTCCACAGTTTATGTTTTGTGTGCTTTGTCAAAGATAATTGCTTGCAAGTATTTGGCTTTATTTATGGGTCTTTATTCTGTTCCATGGGTCTATGTATCTACTTTTATACTAGTAACATGCTGTTTTGGTTACTATAACCCTTGTCATATAATTTGAAGTCAGGTAATGTGATGCCTCCAAAGTTGTTCTTTTCAGTTAGTATTGTTTTAGATATTCAGGCTCTTTTTGTAGTTTCATATAAATTTTAGGATTGTTTTTCTAATTCTGTAAAAAATGGTGTTGGTAGGAATTGCACTGAATCTGTAGATTGCTTTAGGCAGTATGGCCATTTTCACAGTATTGACTCCCGTACTCTGTGAGCATGCAACATTCTACTGCTTGTATTATCTATTACTTCCCTCACCAGTATGTTGTAGTCCTTCTTGTAGACATATTTCACCTCTTTGAGTATATTCCTAGCTATTTTGTATTTATTGTAAAAGGGACTGGGTTTTTTATTTTATTCTCAGCTTGGTCATTGTTGGTGGATAGCATTGCTCTGGATTTGTATACATTGCTTTTATAACCTGAGAGTTTACTGAATCTATTTATGAGATCTAGGAGTCTTTAGGGTTTTCTAGGTAGAGAATTATATCATCAATAAACAGATAGTTTTGACTTCCTCCTTTCCAATTTGAATGTCCTTTTTTTCTTTATTTTTCCTGATTGCTCTGGCTAGGACTTCCTGTATTAATTCTCACATATACGGAACACAAGTTGATAGAATCCATTTGTAGAATCTAAAAATGTAATATAATACTTTTACATTTATAGAACTCCACTGGGGTTTTGTTTTTGAACTTACCAAAATTATCCTGATTTATCTAGAACAATACATTTGTTTGAATATACAAGATTTTTTTTTTTTTGGTAAAATAACATTTAATTTTGGAGGAGGAGTACACTCTTACTAGATATTAAACATATAAATTTACAATCTAATAATCAAATAATCAACGTAATGACCAGTATGTTGCTGGTCAAGGAGTAAATAGACCAATCACTGGAACTCAACAGAAACTTCAGAAACATATTAAAGTTTCCGCAAGAGTTTGTGATATCATAATCTCAGGAACCGGAGAAATAGTATATTGGAATGCATTATCATTAAAAAACATATTTCTTATCTTACGTCTTGCACAAAATAAATGTAAAGTGTATTAAAGTTTTCTTCCCCTCTCTGGAGACAAGGTCTCGCTCTGTTGCCCAGGCTGGAGAACAGCAGCGTGATCATAGTTCACTGCGGTCTCAAACTCCTCAAGCAGTCTCCCCCCTCAGCCTCTGGAGTAGCTGGAACTACCAGTATGTGCCACCACATCTGGCTAATTTTTTGATTTTTATTTTGTAGAGACGAGTTCTCACTATGTTGCCCAGGCTGGTCTTGAACTCCTGAACTCAAGTGATCCTCCTGTCTCAGCCTCCCAAAGTGCTGAGATTACAGGCATGAGCCACTGCACCTTGTCTGTATTAACATTTTAAATGTGAATTGTAAAGGTAGATGGTGAATATATATATTTGGTTGGGTGAGAAAATTCTAAGCATGACTCACGGTCAGAAAAAGTACTCCATGAATATTTTTCCCCTTCACGGAGGTTGGTTATTATTCTTAAAATGTTATAAACTGTCACTTTATGTTTCATGATCCACTAGTTGGAAACATTTTTTTGCCTTCAAATCTTTCTCTCATAAAAAACTTACATATTTAGAAGATTTTTCCAATAACGGGCTCAAATTTACCATAAATATCACTTTTTCTCCCATGAAATTACAGGTCACATTTTAGTTATCAGGAGACTTTCAGTCCTAAGAAGTTACAATTTGAAATTAAACTTACCTAGTTTTTCAAAACTCCTAACCTAGCAGGATACAAATAATGTGCTAGGGTTCATAGCCATTTCAAAATTTTGAATTCTGGAAATGACTTTCCCTCAGCAGCGTGTTTTGCTTGCTTCAGGCATTTTGCAAATACAATACTTTTAGAACACAGCTTTCTATCGCCCCCAGGGAATAATTTGAGAACCACCTTTATAGCTTGTCATTTTATTGTTTAGACTTGAAATGGATTCATCTGTCTGTCAGTAATCAAGCCTTTAACTAATACTGTAATTATGGCCATTTATGCATGTATTTCTTATGACACTCCAAACCTCACAAACTCCTTCTTAGGAATTAGTGTAAAAGAATGACGTGGAAATTCCTCCCATCTCCCTCCAATAGCTGTGTGCCTTCTGGAAAACATGTGCTGTGATCTGTGTCTCTAAAATATGCTGAGTGCAGTGTCCAGAAAAGAGTCAGCTTCTCTGGGAAAAACGTTAGCCAAGATCCCTCTCTAAGTGTATGATGAAAAGCATCATTCCAGTTGAAAAGCGCAAGTCCCATTCGAAAGGAATGAAAGGGAATTTTACAAAGATGATGTGATCGGGCTGAAGAGGAAGACAAGTAAACCGAATTACCTTCTTGTGCCCTATGTGACAGTTTCTTTGAAAGTTTTAGGGCCATGAATATGACTTTCCTAACTAAGCAACCTATTTCAATTTTTTTTTCGCCTCGTGAGGTAAGGCCTCGCTCTGTCACCCGGGCTGGAGTGCAGTGGTTGCAAACAACTCACGGCGGCCGTGACCTCCTGGGCTCAGGCGATCCTCCCGCAAAGCTGGGGTTACAGGTGCACACTACCATGCCTGGCCTATTTAAAAAAATTTTTTATAGACACAGGGTTTTGCTATATTGGCCAAGCTGGTCTCATAATCCTGGCCTCAAGTGATCCTCCTGCTTTAGCCTCCCAAAGTGCTGGGATGAGCCACCACACAAAGCCAGTCTTTTAATTTTTACTTAGTAACTGCTTATGTTTTCAAACAAATGTGAAAACCTAAGTCTTTTGTGCTGTACGCTGGTCTCTTCCTGAATGTGGTTAGGCTCCGAGCCCAGCATCCTTGGCATTGAGTGGTTGCTCCTTAAATATTTACAGTCCTGAATACTTTTCTTGTCCCCAGGCTCACTCTTTTGCTGTTTGGAGCATTCGGAAGTGAATAATGTCTCTCTCAGTCTAGTCTGAGGCTTTTGCGGAGAGTTTCTGTCCTGTGATGCTGGACACGCCCATTGTACTTCCCCTCCTGGGAAGTACGAAGGAGCAGAGAGGCAGGGTGGTGAATTCACACCACGCCGGCCCGCGTGCACTGATGGCCTCCTGCCTGCAGGCCATGGAGCTGGGTCCAGTGAAGGGCTCGGATTCTGGGAGGCCAGGCTCCTGCAGGGACAAAGCCTAGAGTCCACTGGGGCTGCTGAGCAAAAGGGTGAAAATTAAAAAGTGTGAGAGCGAATGCAATTAAAGGCAATAAGAAAAGCCCTATTATTCACTTTCATAATCACCATCGTAATTTTCACACTTTTTACAAATTTCTCTCTCCTCATTTCATTATTTTAAGGGTGATGTGGACAGGAAAGCCTGTCAGAGGTTTTGGTTGGACCCGGGTCTGGAAGGCTGCGACTGTGCTGGGAGAGGCAAAAGTGATGTTGGGGGGCGTCCAGGAAACAGTGCACCCTGAGCCACAGGTCAGAGATAACGCAGCCCGTAGCTTGTGCAGGACTCTGGGCAAACCAGCTCTGGTAGGTTCCGGGCTTCAGCAAGTGGATGAGTGGCTGAAAAATCAGGCTGGTCTGGAGATGGAGGTCTAGGGTTAGGGAGTGTCAGTGGCTTTATTTTTATTCAGTCAACAACTATGCTTTGGACATGGCTGTCTGCCAGGCCCTCTGCTGAGCTTTTCCATACAAGAGTGGACAGAGTTGGCGTCATCCCTGTCCGCAGGTACAAGGTAGCTAGTGCAGAGACATAAGTGAGTAAACCTGCAGTGATGTGACCAATGTCACAACAGAGGGGCTCCCCAAGGACAGCTGAGCCAGATGCCAGGGGCGACGGGGTGGCTTGAGCGGCTCCTGGATGGCTTTTCCGGACAGAGAGGGCAGCCCTCAGGCCCTGCAGCATGGAAGCCGGCTGCAGCCGAGGGTCTGGAGGGGCTCGGGTAGCTGGGGGGAGAGTGCCAGCAAGGTGGTGACAACACTAGAATGTAGAGCGGGAGGAGAGAGTGGGATCGTGACAAATGGACCCAACGGAGGTGTCCAGGCAGGGGCTGGACCACTGACGGTGAGGAAGAGGCTGTGGAAAACACCCCTGAATGAAAAACCGTGCAATGCATGTGACCATTTGTGTCAATGGTGCATCTTTTCTGCTGTTTCCAGTCTGTAGAAACTCCTTTATTACAGAACAGTTGCGAAGAACACAAAGCCAACATCCCTCTGAGGGACGCACATTCTACCCGCTGCTCACTCTGTTAGTAACGCTGACGGTTTTTACACAGAACATTGAACGTCTGCTCTGAAAACCTTGCCTTTGTGCCTGCTCTCAGGTACAGGAACGGTGCTGGAGCCATGGGAGGTGGCCGACCCTGAGTCCTCATTCTGAGCCCATGATGGGAAGCACCCTGGGGCTGGACTCCTGCCATCCATTGCTGGCTACGTGCCCTGCACCCACCACATGGGGAGAACCACAGACAGAGTCATTGAATAACTGAATATTAAATGCACAGGAGATGAATTTAACCATCTAAGAACCAAGAGGGAGCTGGACACAAAGACAGGACAAAATTTTTGAGAGTGTTGAAATGGTTTTTTTTTTTTCCTCTTGTTTCTGGACATCTTGAGGTCAGAATATCCAATGCTCTCAAGGATTTTTATCATAAAAAGCAATCACCTTGTTAGTGGCTGTGTTTAAAGCTGGCCAGACCGAGGCAGTAAACAGTACTCCATTTATTAGCGTAGGGGCTGCAAACCTGAGCACCAACTGGGACCACCCTGCGTGGACTGGGCCATGGTGAGAGGCAGAGGGGCGTGGTGTGTGGGAGATGCATTCTTGGTCTAAAGGACTCTTGAGGATGATATTACAACCTCCCTTCCTGTTGCATTAAGACTTCAAGAAAAGAAATGAAACAGAGCCCCCATTTGTTCTCCAGTGCTGTCTGTCTGTCTTCTCGGTCAGAGGCCCACACAGCCCACCTCACCACGTGGCTTGCAGGGCCTCCCTGGTATTGCGTTGGCTAATGATATGGAATTTGGTCTGACACTGCTATATCCAGCAGAATCTTGAGGGCCATGTGCAGTTTCACCATGTCTCCCCTTCCTTTGCCATGTGACTGAGATGGGCACTACTCCAGCCTGAGTGCCCAAACATGGGAGCCAAGATGTGGCATAGCCTGGGAGGAGAGCTGCCACCAATGTCCTATGTCATTCCTATGAGCCGCTGAGGTGTTGGGGTTGTGTGTTACTGCAGCATAAATAAGCAAGAGCTAACTAATAAATAGATTAACATTTAAACATTAGAAAACAGAGTGGGCTGAACAAAGCATGCCCTGGGCCCGCATGCTCTTTCATACATCATGACCACTTCCCATCATCCAGAGGGGTGCATGGGATCTTCCACAATGCCAGGCAGGCTGCCCCTTTCCTTTCCTTCCCCCTCACCTCGCCTTACCTTGCCTCTCCCTGCCCCGCCCTGCCTTGCCTCTCTTTTTCCAGGCAGGGCCTTGCTCTGTTGCCCAGGATGAAGTGCAGTGATGCCATCATAACCTACCACAGCCTCGCCCTCCTGTGCCCAAATGCTTCTCCCAGTGCAGATTACTAAGTACCTGGGAACGTAGCATGCACCACTACACCTGACTCATTTTTTAAAAAATAGAGATGGGTTCTTCCTATGTTGCCAGGGTGGTCTCCAACTTCTGGGCAACATAGCAAGACCCCATCTCTATTAAAAAAAAAAAAAAAAAGGAGGCTGGATATGGTGGCCTATGCCTGTAATCCCAGCACTTTGGGAGGCTGAGGTAGGGAGATCACCTGAGGTCAGGAGTTTTTGACTGGCCTGGCCAACATGGTAAAACTCTGCCTCTACTAAAAATACAAATAAATTAGCCAGGCATGGTGGTGCACATCTGTAATTCCAGCTACTCAGAAGGCTGAGACAGGAGAATCACTTGAACCCTGCCTCAGCCTCCTGAGGCAGAGGTTGCAGTGAGCTGAGATTGCACTGCTGAACTCCAGCCTGGGTGACAGAGTGAGACTCTGTCTCAAAAAACCAAAAACACAACAAAAAAAGGAAAAAGTGACCCTCTGCCTCAGCCTCTGAGCCTGGCCTAAGACGTGTTCCCAAGACAGGCAGGGACCAGTATGCACTGTCCTTTTCAAGGCATCTGCAGGGAGAAGTAAGTGCGCCGCAGGCAGCCTCCTGCAGTAACACACCTCCAAAGCAAACCCCTTTGTGTAGGTGGATGCGTTCTCCTGGCCCCACTCCTTTGAATACCAACATTTTGAACTACAATTGCAAACCAGAGTCCGGATCCAGGGTTGAGGTCCTCAAATACTCCCATGGAAGAGCCCATGTTCTCCCAGCTACATGGAGGCATTTCACAGCTAAAACCACTCTTCCAATTCAAAGAAGGAAATGAGTGGACAACAGCCGTGAATAGTGACCTCTCCTGTATTTTTCCCCAAACAGCGGTTTTGTGGTCATGCCTTTGTTGGTACTGAAACACTTTTCGCAACGGATGATTATGCACGTGAGGAAAAGCTCGGAAGTGGACTCCCTGGTCACTCGCTCATTTTCAGGGCTGCCACCATGTGAGTCTGGTGCTTCTCCCCACTCCTGCCTGCCCCGGCCTTTGTGCTGCTGTGGCCTTTGTGATTTTAGCCAGCAGCTGTGTAATGGCTAACATTCAGAAGGAAGTGGCTAACATTCAGAGGGAAAGTAAAATTACAAGCAGCACTCTTCTCAACAAACAGCTCACTGTGTCCTAGTGAGGGCACCAGCTGTCACCTACCCCTGTCCTTCTGGTGGCACAGAATTCACTGGAAAGGTCTCGGCCAGGCAGGCTCTGTGTCCAGCCTCTGTCTTGTCTCTAAGGGCGGCCTGTGCCTCCCGGGCTGCCTGGCAGGGCCTGTGAGGCCTCCCTGTCATGAGAAAAGAATCCACAGGTCTGTAAACTTGCTATTTTTAGGCCTCAGTGGACTTGTGCCAGTTTCCTGAGTGTAGTAATTACCCAAATATTTTATTGAATAGGGCCTTGAAAACTTATAACACACACCTCAAACCTATTCAGAAATTTGAACGGGTTTAAAATGCCATGCAGCGAATTCTCATAGACAAATGGCAAGCCCACTTCCCCATCCGCCCCCCGCCCCCACCCCGCAAACCCTCAGGCTGCTCCCACCCTGCTTCTCCACGCTTTCCACACCCATCCCCGCCCGCCCGGGTGAGCTCACCCCATGCAGCTCTGCTACATGCCAGCCAGGCAGGGCTTGCTCCCGGACAGCCTTTTCCAGACCGGTTTCTCTTCTAAATGCAAGCCTCTGTGTCCAGCTCTCTCCTAGGGGTGCACAAGGGATGTTTTCAATTTAGCGTTTCCTAAAGAGGAGTGCTTCCTGTCTCGCCCAGTATCCCCCATCTCAGGAAATAAGACTTTCATCCATGGCTGAGGCCACTGACCCAAACCGATGCTTTGCTCACTCTTCGCCCCCCTCCCTACTCAGGCCCCATGGCAGGCTCCACTTCAAAATCCATGTTGCATCCCAATCCACGCTGCACCCCATTTAACCCCCGCCTCCCAAATCTCCTCCTGCGCGACTGCCATACCTCCTAACCGGGCTCCTGTCCCAATGGGTCCCTGCCCAGTACTGTTCCGCAGGGCATGCAAGAGTATGTCAATTTGACCTTGATCGCCTGACTAAAAAATCTCCAGGTCTTCACCTTCTTACCCAGGGGGAAGGAAAGCCTGGCCTGAGATGAAGGCACACAAGTCTGTGGTTTCCTTTCTGAGGCCCGAGAGGCTGGGCTTGCCTCTGGTTTTTGTGTCACGTATAGAAGATATGACCAAGTGCATAGGTTAGCAATTATTGGGACTAGCGATGCCCCCAGCCTACCCTCAAAGTCCAGGCCTGAACAATAGAATAAAACAGACACCCAGAGGGTTTGGCAGGGAATAGAGAATGATTAGAGAAATAGAAAAATTAATTAGCTCATTAGAACTGGGAGCAGGGCAGCCATTGTCTTCCATTAATGGAGAAGTTGGAGCGCAAACCAAGAACAGAAAGCATGGAGCAGAAGCCACCGACTGCCTCCTCCCTCAATTAGAGGATGCAATAAGAGGAGCAGAAGACTTAAAGAAAATTCCACCTTCTTTAAGAATCAAGGAGAAATAACAGCGGGCAGGTGGCATACACAGAACAGGTCCGCCGTGCCGGTCAGTCTCGTAAGCACTTCAAGGACATGCCTGCTTTTCATCTTCACGCAATCCCAAGTACAAGTTACCACAATTTGTCCCCATTCCGAGGCCAGCAAGGTTAATCAGTTTGCCTGAGGCCACACAGCCAGGAAACGGCAGAATGATGGTAAGTCAGGCAAATTGGTTCTACAGCCCCTGTTCTTAACAAAAACAGAAATCTAAATTTGAGAATGGGTTGTACACCCTGTTGAAAGACTCTTAAAAGAGAAAATCCAGCAAACTTCCCCTGAGATGGACGGTCTGAGTTTATTTTCATTTCCCAGAACTGTTTATCTGCGGGGAGCCATGCTTAGTAAACCCTTTCCCTTGGTGCCAGTGAGGCTTGGTGCTGGGCTGCCAGTGACCTCAGTTAGGGGCATGGCAAACTTGGTGATTTGAGCTGCAGGAAGTGTCTGGGGTGGCGGTGCCTGCAGTCTGGTGTGTGGTCATGTACACACTCAGGAAGGCTTCTGGTTATTGCTTTAGGCCCAAGGTAGGGAGCCAGGAGAAAGAAAGGAAGAGGTCTTTATTAGATAAGAAACGAATATTGAAAAGGGAGGATTTTTTCTGTTTCACTTTCATGTTATTCAATCTTTTACATTGTAAATTATATTCATTTAAAAAAATAAAGAAAAGGAAACATTTCTCCAATACATGGAATGCAGGTCACACGTTAAACTGGGCAGTGAGTGTTAAGCTACACACTGATTTTTAAATGAACGCATCTTACTTGCTAAGGCAGTGGCTCCTGTATTCACCATCTAAGGCATCCTGTTCCGAATTCCTTGGTGGAAACCTGGAAGCTCTCTGGTTTTTCCTCTCTCCGTCCTCCACGTTGAATCAGTTATAGAGCCGCAATGATGTTACCTCCTAAACATGTTATGGTAAAGTCAGTGTGGTGCGTTTGCCAGACCCCGCTCCTTTTTGTTCTGGTTCTCAGCAGGGCTACGTATTCCAGCCTCCCTCAGGTTAGATGGGGCCACATATCTGAGTTCTGGCCACGAAGATAGGCGTGTGAGTGATGTGCTGGCCACCCCCCCAGGCCTGAACCCTGATCCTCCAGCAGGATGCTCCATCCTATTTCTTCCCTTCACCCCTTTGCTGACCCTCTGCAGAAAACTAGCTGAAAACTCCAGGGCCTAAGGGAATGGCAGAACTTTTGCATGAAAGGGCCAGGATCCCTGACTGACTTTCTGGGGCAGAGTTCTCCTTCCCCAAACCCTAGGCCATGGCAGGCCCACAGCGGACTGGGAAGTGAATAAGAAATAGACTCCTAACACATCATGCCAGTCCGATTTGAGATTGTTTCTTACAGCAACTATAATGACTGATCCTAATTTATTTTCTCCTAAATAATTTTTTCCATGCCTAATACTGTCCATAACATTCCATAGCATTACTGATTTTACATTCCTCTCCACCAGCCATCCCCCAACCTTTATCTCCATCTTTAATCTTGCCTTCTCATAACTGCATCTGTTAAGACAAAGTGAACTTTTCTTAAAACGCATGTCAGACCATACCCCTCTTCGGGGTACAGCTTTAACTGGTACCCGCAAAACTGCTGTCACGTGGCACACTCTACCTGTGCCTGGCCTTGGTCCACAACCTCACATTCGATTTCTGCTGCCATGCATGGGCCCTGGCCACTGAGAGCCCAAGGCATTTCTGTACTCAGGGCTGCTTCTCTGGCCATTCCTCGTCCTGGAAAGTCCTTCCTCTGTTAGGCTAATTCTCTGCATCTTCTGGGATCAGTCCAGCAACACCTCTGGGTCCCCTTCCTCTGTCTCCCACAAGTACCCTGCACACATGTGTACGTCACACACATCTCCATCTGTTGTGCTGAGAGCTTCTTTGGGCCCTCACTCAGAGACTGAATTTGTCATCTGTGCGTGCTTGACCCTGGGACCCAGCAACTACCCCCAGTCTTGACGGTCCACAGTGTCTCCAGATATTGCCACATGTCCCTGGGAGACACAGTCAGCTCTGGTTGACAATCCTGCTCCAGAGTGATTGGAAGAAGAGGCTATTTCTTGTGGGTTGCACTCTCCTGGTGGGGATACTCTATTCAAGGTTGAAAACTGAATTTCATCAGAACATTGTAGCCTCTGTAGTAGGCCAGAAAGTGTCCTTCCAAAATTTACATTCACCCAGAACCTCAGAAGAAGGCCTTATTGGAAACAGGGTCTTCGCAAGCTCTCAGAACCAGACTCGTACACACTGAATTCAGAAGAGACTGCGGGCAGCAGACATTGGCGCTATATGAGACCCACTCTCGGCTTCTTTACTAACAGACCCAGTTCCTTTCAGCATAGTCATAAGCCCAGCATAAACAGTGGCTCACGATTGGTTTAGGTCATTCATGATCATTTTGTGTCTCATCCTGTGTCTCAGTTTCTCAGACTTTCTTGCACTCGGGGTGGCCTTAAAACCAGCTCTAGTCAACAAGATTTGAGGACAAATCTAATGCAAGTTTTCTTGGAAAAAGTTTCCTTTTCTGATACAAAGGGTCCCAGACAGAAGACACTGTCCTTCTCCCCCCACCTCCTTTCTGTGGACATGAGGGCTGGAGCCGCAGCAGCCATTAGGTAAAGGCCAGGGGAATGTCACACAGGTCAGCTCGGACATCCTGGGGCACTGGGCCACCATGCCAATGGCTCTCTCTTGCTGGATTTCTTATTATGGGAGCAAAATAACTTTTCTGTTTTATTGAAGCCTCTGTAGTACCTTGGACATTATGCAACCTGCTAGTGCCCACCCAGAACTTCAGAACAAGACCTTATTTGGAAATAGGGTCTTTGCAGGTGTAATTAGTTAAGAATCTTCAGATGAAATTATCCTGGATTTAGAATAGGCCCCAAATCCAATGACTGGTGTCTTTATAAGAAGAGAAGGCACAGAGAGACACACAAGGGAGGATGTCATGTGATAACAGAGGTAGAGGTTAGCATAATTCACTCCCCATTCTCCCCCTTCCACTGCCCCATTTGCCTTGCAATGTGATGTGGCTCCTTCCATCAAGAGGTGGAGGCTTCTTTCCCACCCCGACTTGTCAAGGCCTTGCCACTTGCTTTGGCTCATAGAATGGTAAGGACGTGATGGCATGTCAGTTCTGAGCCTTGTGCGTGTCTGCTTGCATTCTTGTTCTCAGCCACCTGAGAACAAGCCTGGGTCAGCCTACTGGATAACAAGAGACTCATGGCCCTGTCAACTCTGGTGCCCCAGCTGCCGGCCAGGCTACTGTAGCTCAGCCAGCCTTCACCTGATGGGCCAGCTGAGTGCAGCAAGATCAGCTGTGTTTGACCCAGAGCAGCAAAACCATTTAGTTGATTTGTAGACTTGTGAGCAATACCAAACACTTATTTTAAGTCTTGAGCTTGGGGTGGTTTCTTACCCAGCAGTAGCTCACTAATACATACACACTTTGTTTTGGTTACCCATTTGGCACCTGTGGGCAATTGAATTTGGGAACCCTGATTTAGGTAGAGGTTTTCAAACTTCACTGTGTTTTAGAATTTCTCAGAAAATTTACTTAAAATAGAGATTCCTGGGCTTGCTCCTAGAGAGTTTCAGTAGATTGGGTGAGCTCCAGGTGTCTGCATTTTAACCAGCATTGCTAATTCTGGCATGGGTAGCCCATGGAATACACTTTGTAAGCCATTTTTTTCCCACAGGAACAAATCACTAAAAACTTAATAATATCTCTAATATTACTCTTCCTCCAACATCAGAAGACAGAGAAGAGTGGGTTTTGGCCCAAAAGGGGAATGGGAAATTGATAAACAAAGAGAAAGATCTCCCTTGCCCAGCATCTCAAAAACTGCATTTTATGCTCAGTATGTTTCTTGATTGCATTAAGAAATATACTGCAGCTGGGTGCAGTGGCTCAGGTCTGTAATCCCAGCACTTTGGGAGGCTGAGGCAGGTGGCTCACTGGAGGTCAGCCTGGCCAACATGCTGAAATCTCGTCTCTACTACAAATACAAACATTAGTAGGGTGTGGTGGTGCACACCTACAACTCCAGCTACTCAGGGTGCTGAGGCAGGAGTACAGCTTGATTCTCAGCCTGGAAGCGGAAGTTGCAGCGAGCCAGGATTGCATCACTACATTCTAGCCTGGAAAATTTTATATATACATATATATGTATATATAGGTAAACATATATATATATGTATGTATATATGTGTATATATATATATATATATACAGCTTTTAATTTACATAAAGATATTCATGATCGCATAAATAACAAAACCTTGGCTTTGATTACAAAATGTTGTGTGGTGGCTGGTGAACCAAATTAAGGAGGACTAGCTAGAAGCAAATTGCAAAGACAGAGCATGAGGCAATCAAGAAAAACTTGAAGTACGTAAACAATGACAACCTGTGGAACAGATCCTGGAAGCTGGACAAGGGCAAGTGCCCGTGCCCATTCCCACTGGGCCAATGAATCAGTTGCCAGTCATTCTGCCAATGTTCACTGAGGACTAACGTGTCAGACAGTCCTTGAGCTGGTGCACAGCAGGCAGAGGCCATTCCTATCCTCGCTTTATGGGGCTTGCATTCTAATGGGGTGTGGGGGGGACACAGATGGTGAATGAGATAAAATGTATATGAGGTGGTAATAGTGGCCCCCAAAAAGGTATGTTCAAGTCCTAACCCTGAGTGCCTGAGAACGTGACCTTATTTGGAAACAAACTCCTTGCAGATGTAATCAGGTTAGGAGGAAGACACGAGGGTGGCCCTAATCCAATGCCACTGGTGTCTTTCTGAGAAGAGACAGAGACACAAGGAAAACGCCATGGGATGATGATGCCAGAAAACAGAGCTGTCCATTTTAAAGCAGCGTCTCCTAGCTGGTTTCCCACATTCCACACAGCTGCATCTACAAGCCAAGGACAGACACAAGGAAAACGTCATGTGATGATGTGCCAGAGAGTGGGGTGATGCACCAACAAGCCAAGGAATGCCACGGTTTGCCAGCAATACCAGAAGCTGAGAGGAAAGCATGGGACAGCCTTCAGAGAACACATGGCCTTGCTGACAACTTCATTTTGTACTTTCAGCCTCTAGGACTGTGAGAGTGTGTTTGTTGTTTTAAGCCACCCAGTTTGTGATGTTTTGTTACGCAGCTCCAGGTAACTAATGGAGATGAGTGCTAAGAGAAAAAGCAAACAGGGAAGGGGAACAAGGGGTGCTCAGAGTTATTTATGCCTTTTAAAGAGCCCCCTGGACGTCCTCACTGAGATGGAAAGCGGGGAGTGCATGCCAGGCAGATGGAACAGCACGTGCAAAGGCACTGAGGCAGGAGTGTGCCAGCTGTGCGTTTGGCTGGCACAGTTTGGGTTAGGGAAAGCGCTGGGAGGTGAGGTTGGGGTAAAAAGGGGAAGGACCGGGAGATAAGGAACTTGCAGGTCATAGTAAGGTTGTTCCATTTTGCTGAGTGAGAAAGGAAGCCACTGGAGGGTTTTGAGCAGAAGAGTGGCATGAGTTTTTCTTTTTTAAAGTTCTGGGATACACGTGTAGGACATGCAAGTTTGTTACATAGGTAAACGTGTGCCATGGTGGTTTGCTGCACCTGTCAACCCATCACCTAGGCATTAAGCCCTACATGCATTAGCTACGTATCCTGATGCTCCCTCTCCCTCCAGCCCCCAACAGGTCCCAGTGTGTGTTGTTCCCCTCCCTGTGCCTGTGTGTTCTCGTTGTTCACCTCCCACTTATTACTGAGAACATGCAGTGTTTGGTTTTACGTTCCTGTGTTCGTTTGCTTAGGATAGTGGCTTCCAGCTCCACCCATATCCCCGCAAAGGACATGATCTCATTCCTTTTTACGGCTGCATAGTATTCTAAGAGTGGCATGAACCGATTTTTAACAGTAACGTCTTTTTCCTTTTTTAAAAAGGATCACACAAGCAGCTGTGCGGAATGTGGGAGGCCCTTTAGGAGGCACTGCTTTAAAATGCGCGGGTGGAAGGAAGGGAAGTAGAGAGGGGTGGAGGGAGGAGGAGGGGTAGCAGTTGGGTTCTGGATGTTTCTGGCAGTGGAGCCAAGAGGATGTGTTCATTAGGGACAGAGAGGAGCCAGGTATGACCAAGGATTTTGGACTGAGCCACTGGAAGCAAAGAGCTCCAGAATAATGGATGTTTGACTTGTGCGTGATTTTTCCGTCGTTTACTGAATGCACGTTCTAATCCTTGCTCATGATTTCCACCTGTACAACATTCATTTTTATTATTAAACACCGCCACTTGCCCCAAAGCCTTTGTATGCAATACACGGACCTTGATATTTGGAGGGTCAATCGCTTAGTAATGTCTACTCATCTGTGCCAGAGACGAGGGGGCATTTACAACACTCCGGTAAGCAGGCCCAGTCCCGTTCTACCTAAAAGGCTTGGAGCCCGGGCGCCCCTGGGCTAAGGCAGTTTCAGGGACGCCCCGAGGACAGGGCGGCAGCCGCCGGGTCGCCCAGGCTCGCAGGGCACCGCGATCAACCACAACGACGCTGGCGTTTGCTTTGGACCTCACGGGATGTGTGGTTGGCGCTGCATTCCGAACAGTGCCACGGACGACCCGGCTTCCATGGCGCTCGGGACACCCGGATGGCAAACCGCAGGCTGCGGGCGGCGAGCAGTTTCCCAGCCTCCGGCCCGCTCCGTGCAGCTGGAAAAATCCAAGCCCGGGCCGCGACGCGCCGCCCGCGAGCCGTTACTTTCATGGCGAGCACTGCCCATTTTTCCCAGGGAGTTAACTTGGAAATTTTCACTTCACTTTTCGCCAAGAAAATCATTTAAAAAAGCAAACCAAACGCCTGTAAGCAGACTCGCTAGGGAGAAGGTCTCCGCCGCGCGTCCTTCCCGGCTCCGGAGAGGCAGAACCAGCCGCCGGGCGCTGCCTGCGGGCCGCTCACCCGCGAGGTGCAGGGAGCACGTGGGTCGGCGCGCGGACCCCAGTCGCAGCGTGACCCGCTGCATAGCCCTTCGGCTGAGAGATCTGGGGCGGGATCTGCGACCCAGGCCCGCTCTTGCGTCAGGGGGAAGGGCCCGCCAGCTGGGGAAGCGCCTGCGGTGGCGTCCGCTGCCCCGCCCGGCTGCACGGAAACTTCCACCGGCGTCGGCGACGGCCGCGCCCATGCGCACGCGCAGCAAGGTCAGGCGGCAGCAGGAGACCCCGGCCCTAGCACGCATGTCTGCACGCCCTGGTCTGCGCGCCGCGGCGGATCTTCCAGCGGCTGCCTCTTCCACCCAACCCCGGCCTAGTCTGGAAGGGCTCATGCCGCCGCCGCTCTCTCCAGCCCCTCCCAGTCGCGTAGCCTCTGACGCCGTCCCCACCCTGCCCGCGCCCGACGGGGCCCCAGCGCGCAGGCGCGGTAACTACGGCGGCGGTGTCTAGTGAGGATTTGAAATCGGCCGCGCGTGCGTACTGGCGACACGGCCCGGCGAGGGAGGCCCCGCTTCCTACAGCGCCCCCGTCCCCGCCCCCGCCCCTCATTGGAGCGGAGGCGGCGGCGGCCCCCACCTTCCTCCGGGCTGTCTCCGCGGAGAGCGTCTTTTCACCGCCACCACCGCCGCCGCCGCCGCAAGAGCGCGGAGCCAGCGGCGCGAGCGTGACTGAGGGCTGGGCGCACGGGCGGCGGCGCCCCCGGCGGATCCCTCAGCAGAGCGGCGCCTGGGCCCGCCCCCTCGGCCCCGCCGCCCGCCCCTCTCCGATGGCCTCTCCCCGCGGCCCAAGTGGAACGCCGCCGCCGCCGCGGCCCCCGCGCCCGCCCCGCGCCGCGTGAAGCGGGAGCTCGGAGACCGCAGCCGCCTGCCGGGACGCGCCAAGCGCCGGAGCCGCCCGCCGCGGCCTGCCGGGGCCCATCACCGCCGCCGCGTCCCCACGCCGGAGCCCGACGGGAGCGCGGCGCGAGCAGGAGGCCGGGGCTCGGCCCGCCCGCCGCCGCCAGCCCAGACCCGTCCGTCCGTCCGTCCGTGCGCGCGCGGCCGGGCCTCGGGGCGCGGCGGGGGCGGGGCCGCGGCGGGGCGGGCGGGCGCGCGGGCCCCGCGGGGGCGGTGCGTGGATGGATCCGCGCGTGGCCTGGATCCAGCCCGAGCAGAAGGGGCCGGCCAATGCCCTGTGGATGCAGATCTGGGAGACCTCGCAGGGCGTGGGCCGCGGCGGCTCGGGCTTCGCGTCCTACTTCTGCCTCAACTCGCCGGCGCTGGACACGGCGGCCGCGGCGGGGGCGGCCGGGCGGGGCGGCGGCGGCCTGGGCCCCGCGCTGCCCGCCGCGTCGCCCCCGCCACCCACCCCCGGCCCCGCCGCGCCGGCCGCGCTACCCCCCGCGCTGCTGACGGCGCTGGGGCCCGCGGCCGAGGGCGCGCGGCGCCTGCACAAGTCGCCGTCGCTGTCGTCCTCGTCGTCGTCCTCGTCCAACGCGGAGTCGGGCACCGAGAGCCCCGGCTGCTCCTCTTCGTCCTCCAGCAGCGCCTCCCTGGGCCGGCCGGGCGGCGGCCGCAGCGGCGCCTTCTTCAACTTCGCCGACGGCGCGCCCAGTGCCCCCGGCACGGCAAACGGGCACCCCGGGCCTCGCGGCCCCGCGCCCGCCGGCTCCCCGCCGCAGCACCAGTTCCACCCGGGCCGCCGGAAACGCGAGAACAAGGCCAGTACCTACGGCCTCAACTACCTGCTGTCCGGCAGCCGCGCGGCCGCGCTCAGCGGAGGGGGCGGCCCCGGGGCCCAAGCGCCGCGGCCCGGGACCCCGTGGAAGAGCCGCGCGTACAGCCCGGGCATCCAGGGGTGAGTGCGCGGGGCGGCCAAGGGTGCCGGGGGCGGGGGCCGCGGTCCTGTCCGGAGCGCCGGGTGCAAACACCCGCTCCGGGCTCCCGGGCTCCGTGTGGAGGATGGATGTTGAAGGCCAAGGCCCCACTCTGCACCGAAAGTTTTTTTTATTTTTATTTTTAAATATCAAACTCCTTTATAATGGAGTGACTTGCCCAGATCCTACAAGTAACAGTGCAAGAAAAGGGTGCTGAATAGAGGACCTGCAGTTATTTGCCTTTTCTGTTGTTGACGCTGGAAAGGGAAATCGACTCTCTCCCCTTCCACCCACCTCCAGGCAAGCGGGGAACTCCTTGTCAAAGTGCGGCACAGATAAGTGTGGCTGGAGTTTCATGTAAGTTGCAGCATAATTTAGCGTTGCCAGGAACTCAGATCACATTGAAAGTAAATATTAACTTCTTTTTTATTTCTTTTTCTTTCTTTCTTTTTTTTTTTTTTTTTTTGAGAAATTTCCTTTAAAAGATAATTGAGTTTTTGGTAGTGTTACGATTTAACCATCAGTAAACTTAGAGGAAATTTTTTTGCGGGGGCTGTTTGTATGGTTTAATTTCGTGCTGCAATGAACACAAAAAGCATCATCTATAGTTTATAAAAATTGGCTTTATTCAAAGAAAATAAAAACAGATTTGTCATACATGCTATTCTTTGGAAGATGCCATTTTTATTTTAAGTATTTCCACATCCTCCTGGAGGGAATTAGAGGTTCTACTTAAATTTAGTGCACCTACAGACGGCAAGGAATGAAAGGAAAGGTGGTGTGTGGGGTTGGAATTGTCCCAGGTGAGGCTGCTCAGGTGTGATGCTATTTACACAGCCCCCTTGTCATTTTGGGCTTTTCTGAGCGTCTGAAAATAATTTATATTAGGTTGTGTGTCAGTATTTTAAGACTTAAATGATGTTTTCCTTACACTTTTTTTTTTGTCAATTTAAAAAACAAAGATTTGTCGGAGTATGAGGTTACGGGCATTGGAGTCCTACAAATACCCGCAATTGCTAGGTGTTGCAGTTCCTCCTTACAGTACACTTTTTCTTATAACTTTCTGTGTGTTGGCTTAAGTTGATGTTTGTTTAAAGCGTGTGATGCACTGTAATAGCTGCCTGTTCTGTAACTTATTTCACCTGGTTTGGGCTCCAGGTGTTACTTTCTAAATTCCCCGAAGCCTAAACTTGCACTGCAGACTCTGGTGGGAGTGCAGCCTCCTCTTCTCTCTCCCTCCGGTTCTTTTTTGTAGAAGTTTATGAGAGCAGGTGGTTGGGAGCAGTTTTTTCTTGATGTAGAGCGGTACATACCTAAGGACTCGCTTGGGTGGATTTTTACTTTTACAGCCTGTTATGTAACTGGAATAGACTCCGTGTCTCTTGGCGCTAGAAAGAATAGGAAGACTCATGGTCTCTGCCAGTCTTGGGTTGTACCTCTGCCCTTGGAGAGCAGCAGTGCATCAGGCCCCATGCACCTCCCTTGGGGTCCCCAAGATCCTCCTGGTAACTCTAGTCAGCCTCAGTAGGTAGCGTTGCTTTTGTTAGTGAATGAGCCCACTGGGCTAGGATCTGGGGTTTTCTGGGGTAGGGACAGCATGGGAGACAAAATCTCGTAATCTTGACCCACCCTGGAACTTGCCCACAAGCCCCCCTGCCTAGTGCACAAGAGACTGCTCTGTTGTGCAGTCTCCTCTCACCTTCATCCCTCACGTCCAGTCACTCATCGATGTTGTTTGGCCCTTTGAATCTCTCCACACCTTATCCTCCACCCTCAGGCAGGCTCTTGCCACCTCTGTGGAGATTGCTCAAGCAGCCAGAGGTACCTTTGATGCACTTTGGCCCTGCCTGGGTCCTTTCCCATCCCTGCCAATGGGGCGATCTTTTCAGCCAGCAAGTCTGGTCAGGTTCCCCTTCACCCTCTGATGGCACCTCCCCCATCTCCAGTCCCCCACATTAACGACTAAAGCCTAAAACTCAGCGACACCTCCAGGGCTCTGCTGCTCTGATGGCCCTGGGTCCTGGCCCCTGGCCCCAGCCCTTGTCCACCTAGTAGAATCCAGCTGTAAGGCAGTATGATGTAGGGCATAAGAGAGCGCTCTGAAGTCTGCCATGAGCTCTGATTTCATAATGCAGACCTGCTTTGAACCTTCCTTTTCCCCTTTGCCTATCTGGGTGGTGTGTACCATGCTTCCAGTATAGCCCTGGGTGCATCCACTTGCTGCCACCTCTGCCCATAGGGGCCTGTGAGGATTACTTGCTATGTGCCTAGAAGGGCAGGGTGACCTCTGCTTGGTAAGCTACTGAGCTGCTCTTTCAGAAGGAAAAGGAAGTAGTAAACCTGAGCAGTGGTGGAGTTGGGCTTGTGATTAGAGGAAGCAGGGTGACCCTGGTGATCATTTCCACATGGCCCATTGGTCCTATATGAACTAATCTTTTGGTATCAAGAAGTAGTTCTGTCTGGAACTTGCTTCTGGCCACCAGCTTACCCAGAGTGTTGGGAAAGGCCACCAAAAAGTTTCATTTGGGACTTAGAGAAGGAAATAACTGCGTTAAAGACACACCTGGCCTGGCCAATAGTAAAAGGACCTTGTTGCTGAAAAGCTGCTTGGAGTTGTGGCACAATCCCAGTATGTGCACTTCTGAAAATGCAGTGTGCAGTCCTCAGGGGAGGGTGAGCCTGCTGTGGCACATCGGCTGAACCCAGTTGGGTTTTTGCCTGGTAGCCCATGTGGCAACCCACACTATTTGTCCTTTTCTAGGGAGGAGTTTTCTGCCCTTGGAAACTTTGCTTGGCGGCTTGGTCTTGTGAGACTGCCAGTCTGCCTCAAGTAGGATGAAGAAAAAGCAGGTGAAAGAGGACAGGGATTGGTGCAAGAACCTTCAGAGGAGAGGAGGTGAAACGCTAGTTTTGGCTCTGGTCTTATTACATTATTTGATTGAAATCCCAAACCTTTGTTTTGGCAGTGGTGTGCTTAGCGTGAGCCGTGCTGTTGACCTGGGCTTTTGACCTACGGACATTGGCAGGTGTGTGGACAGGCCCTGGGCCCTTTGCATCCCAGCCTCTGACTGCTGTCACTGGCGCATGCTCTCATCTGACCCAGCAGTGCTTTGGGCTGTTATTATTTTGCCATGGTTCTTCTAGCAGCTTTGGAAACCTTCAGGTTAAAAGTCCTGTTTAAGTGACAGTGGGAGTGTGGCTGTCGGTTATTTGATCACGTCCTTACTAGTGTGTTACAGAGACCCAGGAATAGTGTAATTGAATGAAAATCCGTGATGGTGTCCCGGGCCTTGAACAGCTTCTATTCAGTTTGGCCTTTCGAAGGCTGTGCCATCTCAGGTGTTCCTGCAGTGTGCAGCAGGTGTATGCACCTTCCTCTGCAGGTTTCTTGATGTTATTTAATCTCACTTTCTAATATCTTCCATTAACTCAAAGGATATTCTCTTCTTAAAATCTGAGAGAGACCGACAAATGTCGGCATCGGGATGTGGTCAGCGGTGCCCCAGGAGCCCCTGGTGAGCGTCATTTCCAACTTGGGGCATGTTTGTTTTCGATACTTTCCTGAAGGCATCAGAGCTTGGAGGCGCAACCAGCATCCCACCCTTCCTGCAGCCTGACTTCACTGACATAAAGTAGAGCAGGTGTGACCTGCCTGAAACATCCTTGTGATGCTGGGTAGGGCCTGCTGCGGAGTGGGGAGGCATCACTCTAGGGGCCTCTCCCTCGCATTTCTTCCTTTGCATGTCCAGGATGCATGGGAGAGATTCTCGCAAAACCTGCCTCAAAGGGCAGCGGTGACACGTGTGGGTCTTGCTTTCTGGGTTTCACTCTCAGAGTCCCAGAGGTATAAGC